TATGGACAAGCCGAGAATCACGTGGCTCACTTACCGGAGTCTTCCTGACTCAGCATAAAAAGAAGAAAAAAGCCAGCAAGATTGTTTTAACCTTAAGATTGAAAGGTGTGTACGTACAGCTGGAAGTGGCAGCTTTTGCTGAATGTCAGCATGGACTGAGGCAGTAAGCTGGAATCACGTTTATGCCTGCCATCTAAAAAAAAAAAGAGGCAGTTTAAACTGCCGCGGTTTTACAGATAAGACACGTGGCCAGAAAAACGTAAAGCTTTACAGTAAAGTCAGACTTGGATGAACAAAATCTCTAAAGGTTTACAGTGTGTTTAAAAATATACGTAAGATTGAGAGAAAAAGAAGCCTGCTGTGGTGTCACACGCCGGTAGGAATTGCTCCAGAGGCAGAGGCAGGCAGATTTCCAAAGAGAAACCCTGTCTCGGAGAAAAATAAATAAAAGTGAAAAAATAGAGTAATAATAAATAATAGATAAATAAATAAGCCATGTAAAGATGGAAAATACACAGAGAGTCTGGATACTGTATGCTATTATGTTTTTCAGTTTTTTGATTGCTAAGGAAGGAACAACTAAAGTACACTTGATTATAAATGCTGCTGAATTAATTCAACTTATATCTTTTAAAAATGCCTTGACTTCAAAATTTAAGTATAAGGATATGTTACTCGGAAAAGGAGTTTTAGTTTATGTTTCCACAGAAAATGAAAAGCTGAGGATTCCTTCCAGGCTTCTGTGGTTTGACGAACCAAGCCCCCCCCCAAAGGAGTGGACCAGGTGTTGCAATAACTGAAACAGCTAAGATGGTACAGCTTTACAGACCACAAAAATAAGGACTTATACAGGTTTCTGAGTTTTGTCATGATCCCAATGGTATAAACAGCACCCCCTTCCAGGAGGAAGCAGTTTGGAATGAGCGATGCCCCAATTCCCATCTTGTTTATAAATCTTTGTTTTCATTTAAATGGGATTGTTTATAATTGGTTAATGATCACAATCAATCTCCTTTTAATGGTAAAAAGGGCGATTATGGTATGGGTATTGTTTTTCATTTATTGATACAAATTCAAGGTCAGTTTTGTGATGTGTATATTTCTCCTCTTGATATTTTAAAATGTAATGCATAATTGAATACAGACTATAGATAGTTACTTATAATAGTCAGAATTTATAGTTAGGTAAGTTAAGTTTTCTAGATATACAGAAATATATTTGAGATAGATAAACAGTCTTCAAACCTCTCAAAGACCTTCAGAAAATGGCATTTAAAATGGTTTAGGGTTTTTCTTGACAATGAGAAATGTCTGCTCCTGGCAACATCAATTATGTCTGAGATGTGCATCGAGGAAACTCGTTATTGAGCTTGCTTTCAACATGGCAAGGTTAGCTATTTGGGCAAGAAACTGCTTTTGCCTGGACTGCTTGAGTGTTGCTGTATAATCTGGATGTGCAGGATCCACAGGAAAGTTACTGCTGAATTCAAATACTCCTTCAGGGTTCCTGCTTCATGAAAGAGACTAGGAGACTTTCTGCAGGACAAAGAAAAATGACTGACTGACTGCCAATGCAGATGGACAGTTTTGAAATTTCCTGCTTTGCTGAGAAATCTTCTGGACACATTGTGGCCTATGGGCTGAAGATGGATGCCCCAATGTTACAGAGGAACTTCAGGTCACTGTCCAGGCAGTAAGATGTCTCTGTCAATCCTAGTGTTTATATATTATCCTTCTGTGGTCTTTGATGGAGTTGAAGACAGATAGTTATAATTATAGTTTTCCTTAGTTATGATAAAAGATGAGCTACATATAGAACTTTGGACTCACAAGGATGGGATGAATGATATTTTCTTTAAATCTTGCTAAATGTTAACAGACACAATGTTCTAACTGTGTTCTTACTTGATAACTGTTCTGTTATATACAATTTGACTGTGTTAAAGTTAAGATCTTTCTTTTTGTTTAAACAGAAAAGAGGAGATGTTGGGGAAGTCTTATGCCAATAAAGCACTGTCTGGCCAATAGGGAATCTAGATAGGAGGGACTAGGAGTCCAGGAGGACTCTGGGAAGGAGAAACACAGGAGAGTCAACATGTAACCGCCATGGGGTAGGAGCCCGGAACTATTCTCCGGTAAGAGACATACTTAGATCAACAATTATGGGGTAATTACTTAAAGCAGAGCTAGCCAGTAAGAGACAAGCAAGGCCAACAGCTTCATAACCAATATAGCCTCCTGTGTGTTTATTTGGGGACTACAATGCCGCAGAGCCCAGGCGACTGGCGGGTGATAAACCAAAGCGGATAGCAAGGAAAAGCTTCTCTTTACATGTTTCCATGTTTCTGGTTAGGACAGTCCTGTGACTGCAGGCATGCAAAGATCCTGTAAAGTCTGGGTTCTTGCCTAAAATCTCTTCATATCAAAGTGAACAGAAACCATTCTGAGATTGCCTTCCTTTTGTCTTCCTGCTGTGCTTCTGTTACATATGATTGTGTAGCTACTGGTTGCCCAAAGTTGTCAACCTCAGCTGAACAATTCAGACTTGTTACCTTAGGAGGGTTTCCAGAGTGTCCAATGGTTACCATTCAGGAAACGCCTAGGAGGAGATAGTGCTGTGGGCACATCAAAGATGGCAAATGCAATCTTATGACAACATAGAGGAAAAAGAGTGGGATCTAGAGCGCACTGCTCATCAATTTCTCACCATCGCTCCCTGCCTGTCTTTGAAAACACACAGACAAGATTGGTCTTGAACTCCAGATCTTCTTTCCCCCATTTCCTCGGTGTTGAGATTTGTGATTTACACCACCAAGTCTATGTGTCCTATTCTTCAGGACTCCCAACTTCTGGCTGGCAACCTGCACATAAGGGCCTCCAAGAGAGGGACAAAAGTTCCTGTCCTTTTCTAAGGGATTGGACCCTTAAGAACTATAATATAAGCTTTCAAATGTGAACTCTTTCTAATGTACTAATGAGTCCCTATACATAGTCCTTGTGCCTTTCTCTCCAGGAGAAGCAGAGAACAATGGAGAATTTTTGAACTATTTCACCTCTCATTGGTTTGTCTATCAACAATTTTGGTGGCAGAGCTTGCCACTAAAAAGGACAAGCTAAAGGGTACTGGCTGCAAGCTGGGTACAATAAATTTATTTCCTAGGGCCCAAGTCGTGTGGGAACAACAGACCTTGGCCAGAGGCCCACTTCCCCATCAGCCTGGGAGCAGGCAGCTGTAATACAATGTTTTCTAAAAACAATATGGTGCCTGGAGCAATAATTTCCTGATTATGTCTCATCCACAGGATCACTCTGAACTTGACCTTTTCCAAAGACTAACTGCCTCTTCCTGACCCACCCACCTCCGCCTCTGGTGTCAGGGTATATAATAATCAGCCAGGGTAAAATGAAGTAAATCCTTTTTGAGCAGCCTTCTGAAAAGCCTTCTTGAAGTTTTCTTTGCATCACCAACCAGTCTCTGTGTCATCAACCCAACACACTCTGCACAGATTGCACAGTGGGCACAGCAATTGGAGGTCCCGCCAACATCGTGAAAGCAAGGTAATTTGATGGGGTTGTCCCTTTGCCAGCCAGAGACTGATTGAGGAAAAAAAGCCTAGTAGGATTACTAAAATCGATTGAAATAGCAAAACCATAGTTCATTACTGGGGGAGGCTTAAATATCCCAATTGGGATGAGGTTCGCTGTGATCTTATTCAACTTTTACAAAAAGAGGGACCTGAGTCCTTGCCCCATCCACATTTTCCTTATGGGGATTAGTGAGGGGTGCACTTTTGACAGATAAGATTTGCCAACGCCAGGTAGTCCAGGCCACAAAAGAAGCATTTTCAGAGTTACAAGAGACTGAGACTCGAGCCTCCCTGTGTTCAGAGGCAGGGAGTGAGGATGAATCATCTGAAGAGACTCTGCCTTAACACTAGAGGCACCATTGTTAGTGAGGATAAGGAGGAGACTCTTCACAACAACAACAAAAAATGGGTAGAGATTTCAGGGCACAACCCAAAAAGAAGAATTCCAGTCAGAATCAGTTATATCCTTCTCTTTCAAACCTAGAAAATGGAAGAAGCTTGGACTCTGACTCATCAGAGTCTGAGAAGGAATGCTTTCTTGCTGAGGTCATGGCCCTTAAAAAAGCACTAAAAAGAGTTGTGTAGGAGTGAACCCCACAAAGCTATCTGCCCATGAGGGTGGGGACATGTAAACTGACACAGGTAGATATAAAAGGAAGTGAAAGGAAAAGGAACCTCCCTTTTCTCTTGGAAGCCAGCCAGGCTTCTAACTCCTAGCTAGTGCGACTCCCTCCCTAGTAAATAAATATATTATTTTCCTTATAGCATTGAATATCCTCTTTAGAGTTGAATTAAGAAAAGACAGGAAAGGGAGAGAAACCCTCCTCCATACTCTGAAAAAAGGATCTCCTACTATGACATGACCCAGCCCTTCTTGGACCTTGAGGGAAGACCCAGAGGAGGGCTCCATTGCTGCTCAGTGGTGGCCTTAGTAATGGAAGCTCCCAACCCAAACAATCCCGGGCAGGTTATTCGGTGTCATGACCCTTTAAATTTCAAAGACATAAACCAACTTAAAAATTCAACTCTAAATTATGGAGCACAGGCTCCCTTTACACTTTCCTTAATGGAATCTTTTGTGTTTCATAACTTGACACCTAGTGATTGGCAACAGCTTTGCTGAGCCCCTCTCTCTGGGGAGATTACTTGATTTGGAGAGTTGAGTTTCAAGAAACATGCAGCCAGACAGCCCAAAGGAATGCACAGGCCGGACAGCCCCAGAGAAATGGTTGGACTGGATTAAATCTCCAGGCATTCGCCTGACACCAAGGTCAGGAAAGAAAGGGGAACCTGAGAGATCACCCTCAGTTGGACAAGGGATTGAAAATGGGTGAATTGAAAAAATTGGTAAAAGTTAGTAAAGAAATAAAACAATCTGTTCGAGATTTCCATTTTCTCAACAGGCCAGCTGCTTCAACCTCTCCTAACTGTGAGTTTTTATCCCGAAGCCAACAGAGAACTGGAAGATTAACAGTCTGCCCTTGCCATTCCTTGAAACAACAGAATCCATTTTGGCAGTTTTTCCCTTTGGGAAAAGGTACCCTTTTGAAACATTTGGACACTGGTATGGACCATGATGAGTGGCAAAAGCCCCTTATCAGTATTTGAACAGGACACGGCCACTTGAAACATCAGCCCTGGTGGTTCCTGTTTCTGGAATTACACCTATGCCTGTATGTTTTCCTGGAGAAATGCAACTTGTCCTAATGCAACAAAAAGGAGGCTTTGGCATCACAGCCGCTGTTGTCCCAGCCATTGCCATAAGGCCACTGTGGCTCCTGCAGCCAGAATTGCCTTGGCCCAATTTTCTGCCAAGGCAGAGACTGTTAACAGCCTTTCTGGTAGAGTTAGTGAAGCACTCTCCACTCAGATTGCGCTCAATTCGCATATTCAGCTGAGGCTCCTGAAGTTAAATCAACAAACTGCATCACTTCAGGAACAAAGTGGTGCTCTGTGGATAGTGAATCTCTCTTCCTCCCTCCCTCCCTCCCTCCCTCCCTTCCTTCCTTCCTTCCTTTCCATTCTTCCCTTTCCTTTCTTTCCTTCATGTTTTAGGTTGTTTATATTTAGTCTTAGAAGTCCTGTACCTCAATAAGTTGAAGAGGCTGTCCTTCAGCTCACAGAGATCCGCTTATCTGTGTGGCTGGAATGTTGTGATTAAAGGTGTGCATCCCCACTCCCATTTGGATTGATTTTCAAACATTTGTTGGTGGTGAGAGTGAACCCAGAGCCTAGAGCATGTCAGGTAAGCTCTCAGTTTCACAGCTACATTTTAGCTTCACTTTTTAAGAAGATAAAGATATGTGTTACCTAGGCCTAGTTTTTACCTCTCTAAAATTCTATAGCCTTTCTTCCTATTTCAGGGAACCATAGATATTCACCACCAGCCCAATCTTTTATTTTAGATTGTTTTCAAACTTGAAGCTAATCTTGAATTTTTTAAACAAATTTTTAAGATTTATTTATTATGTATACAGTGTTCTTTCTGCATGTATCCCTGCAGGTCAGAAGAAGCTACCAGATCTCATTACAGATGTCTGTACAACAACATATGATTGCTGGATATTGTAGTTAGGACCTTTGGAATATTAGCTAGTGTTCTTAACCACTGAGATATCTCTCCAGGTCCCTAATCTTGGAATCTTCCTCATCAGTTTTCTATGCTTTTGTAGAAAAGTAGGGATGTGAGATTGAAAGAATGAGAAGACAGATACTTGTGACCTTGGGTTTGGAGAGGTTGACCACAAAGTGCTTGCTTTTACTATCTTATCCAACTCTATACACGTTGTATTCATTTATGAGTGTATATTCACTATATACAGACTGCTTGTATGTTTATTTCATAAATATTATATTACTAATACTGTTTCTTTGGGAAGCCTGAGGATGCAGTGTAGAGTCTGAGACATATTGCACATCATACTTCCAAGGAATCATACCCTCATGCCTTCCCCTGGATTATTGTGAAAATATGTCTTGTGCTAATAAATTAAGCCTCATTATTAAAAGGATAAATTCTTGAAGGATATGAATAACAAAACAGGCAGAGATAGCACAAACCTCTAATCCTAGCACTCAGGAGACAAAGGCAAGTGGATCTCTCAGTTAGAGGTCAGCCTGGTCTAAAGAATGAGATTTCACACAACAAGGGATACACAGAGAAACCCTGTCTTGAAAAATTACTCAGTAAATGATGAATAATAAATTGATGTAAGAAAACAGAATCAATGCTTGGTGGTGATGGTGCATACCTTTAACACCAGCACTTGGGAGGCAGAGGCAAGCTACAAGGACAAAGATCTTACTGTGATGTATTGGGTCTAGGGGAAGGAAGGGGATGAGCAAAGAAAACTTACAAATATTTTAAAATTTGTTTTACACTGTAAATGGGTATTAAATTATAAGAGGAAACTAACTCCAATTGCGTGTTGAGTCTAGAAACCTGGACAAGGTCAATGGCTATATAGTTCAAGATTAGCCTTGCCCATTTTAACCCTGTCTCCAAAAGCTCAAATGAACCAAAGAAACTAATATGCAAATTACTATGAATGCTCAATTCTCATTAAAACAAAACTACACCAGATGTAAACATATTAAAATATATCCTTTGAATATTAAAGCCATCATCTGGAAATGTAGCTTAGTTGGTGAAAAGGCTATACCAGTATGTACTAAGACATCCAATGGAGGGGAAGTGAGTTACCTGATATGGTCACTGGTTTAGAGCTCCTATTGCCAGCACATGTTTACATGTATGTGTGTGTGTGTGTGTGTGTGTGTGTGTCTGTGTTTGTGTGTCTGTGTGTGTGATTTCAGTGGCTCTGTGTGTGTTTTGTTGTGTTTGGTTATTTGAGTGAATAGGGAATTTCAGAGTAGCCAAAGGCTACCAAATTAGCTTTTGTCTCAAATCAAGAAAATAAAAACCAAACACAAAACAAAAATACACCCCATGAATAAGTTGCAGGTGTGAAAGAGCTGAGATGGCTGTCAGGAACCTGGAGTCCTCCATAGCCAGAAGCTTATTTGAAATAATGACTTGATGAAGGAATTCAGAATCATCAAGAGTAAGATGGACACTTTATCTCAAAGTGTAAATCAACAGAAAAGCATGATGGGATAGAAATCAACCAAAAACTAATATTTATTAATACCCCAGTGTCATCTTGCATGGGGTGCATACTCTTTGTATTATCATTCAATAAGCTGAGGTGGGAGGTTTTCTGTGAGTTTCAGGCACAACCTGATCCACACAGTGAGAAACTATCAAACAACAACATCAAATTCTAAACAGAAAACCGTGGTGCTTTTCTTGAAGAAAACAGTAGAAACCAAGTGCCTCAAATGGTCTTTTTTTCTTTTTTCTGAAATGGTCTTTTAGAACAAATTACTTAACCAGCAATCCTAACAAGGCTCCATAATTAAGGTACTTGCTCCTATGAAGACTTAAGTTTGATGGCTGGAACCCAGGAGAACAGACTCCTGAAGGTTTCCTATGAACTCTATATGGGCATGATGGCAAATGCGCCTACACCTATAATTAATTGAAAAAAACCATTTATGTGCTGATATATTATTAATAATTTAATAAAGAATACCTGAAGGATCAAAATTCAAAGACAGCCATACTACTCAGCTGTACAAGCTAGGCAGAGTTGGCACACATCTTTAATCCATTGAATCAGGTGAAAAGGATCTCTGTGAGTCAGAGGCCACCCATGGCTGCACAAGCTTGAATCAGTCTGAAAGATAAACAGCTCATAGGAAGGTGATCTCAGCACTAGGGATCCCGCTTCTTCAATCACAGCACTAAGTAAACACCAAAAGCAAATAGTCTCAGGTGTGGATCTATTCTTAAGCCAGTTTGATGTGAGAAAGCAGTGTTAGGTGTGGAGGAGAGATCATGGAGACAGATCACCCTTCAGCCTGAGATAGAAAAAGAACTAGTTACTTGGCTACTATGCTTCTCTGATATTCAGTTTGCAGGTTGAACCCCAATATCTTTCTCTGGGTTTTTTATTAATTTGTGTTATATTTTTTTAAATTTCCTTTCCCAAAAGCAGGGAACCACTGTGCAAAGACTGGTCTCTATGACATCTCCTGGGCACATGTGCAGGACTGCCACATCGGCAGCCAATGAGAGAGGGATGCAGTATCAGGATTTTTATGTCACCATTGCCTATGATTAGCTTCTACCCCAGTGGGAAAACAGGGCCTCTAACAATGAATGGAACGAAGATACAGAAGGAAGGAGCAATTGTTATATCAAGGTTACTTGAGGGAAAAATCCGGAAAAACGATTCAATTAGAAATCAAATGAAGCTGAGAAAGTTGGTACACACCTTTAATCTCACCACTGGAGAGGCAGTGGCAGGCAAATCTCTGTGTTGATGGTTAGCCTCATCTACAATGTGAGTTCCAGGAGAACTAAAGTTACATCTCAAAACCCCAAAAAGCGAAAAAATCCAGACAGGAAGGAACGATGGAAAGAAGAAAGAAAGAAAAAGAAAGAAAGAGAGAGAGAAAGAAAGAAAGAGAGAAAGAAAGAAAGAGAGAAAGAGAAAAGGAAAGAACTAAATTCTGTGTCTGTGATGTGTTCTCCTCCATACATGTCCTAGAGATAAATCTCAACTCACCATGATTAGTATGTGACTTTACATACTGAGGCATGCTGCTGGACTATCCAGTTTTTTTAAAGAACCATGTGAGGATTTTATGAATTAGGCACTGTTATCTTTTTCATCCCATATTCTCCCTCCTCCAAATACTCTCTTGCCCTTTCCTACTCAATTTTATGATCGATTCCTTAGCAGTCTCTCTCTCTCTCTCTCTCTCTCTCACACACACACACACACACACACACACACACACACTCACACCTACACACCCCCACCCCCGCACACAACCTATAAGTACACACAGCCAAGCTGCTTTAGTGTTACTCATACACACAAGTGTAGGGAAGATAACCAAATGAATAAGCAATCAGGGAGATGGTCCCAGATTACTGGTACTCACTCATTTAGCAACTCCTTTTATTTTATTATTTTTAAATTTAAATTAGAAACAAGTTTGCTTCACATGTCAATCACAGGTCTCTCTCCATTTCCCTCCCCTTGTCACAGGCCCTCACACTAACCTCTCCAACCTCCTAATCCAAACTACTTTCCCCTGGGAGGGTGAAGCACTCCATGGGGGGTGTTCATATTCTGTCTTTGCATCCAGGGCTGGTCCTAGAACCTTCCTCAAGAATCTAGGATGACAGTTCATTTCTCTTTGTAGGATGGGCACCCAAAGTGTATTTGCATGCCACAGATAAATACTGATCAACTACCCAAAGCCCCATAGATTTCCTAGGCCTCTTCACTGACACTCACATTTAGGGGGTTTTGATCAGTTCCATGCTGGATTCCCAGGCATCAGTCTGGGGTTCAAGAGCTCCCCCCTTTTCAGTTCATCTGATTCTGTGAGTTAAACAAGCCCAGTTTTTACCCCTATACTCATCAGTCCTCCCTCTCTGTCTCTGGGTTCCTTCAGTTCAGTGTTTGTTTTTGTCTCCCTCGGATTCCATCAGTCATTGGTTGAAGGTTCTGTTTCCCAGAATCTCTGCCAGTAGGATTGTATGATGGTACTCCCTGGATCCATGTCTAAATTCCATATATGAGTGAGTACATACAATGTTTCTCTTTTTGTGACTGGGTTACCTCACTCAGGATAGTTCTTTCTAGTGCCATTGAATTGTCTGCAAATTTCAAGATTCCATTGTTTTTTCCTGCTTAATAGTACTCCATTGCTTAAATGTACCACATTTTCTTTATCCACTCTTTAGTTGTGGGGCATCTTGGTTGCTTCCAGGTTCTGGTTATTACAAATAATGCTGCTACGAATGTAGTGTAAGAGGCATCCTTGTTGTATGAATGTGCATCTTTTGGGTATATACCTACAAGTGGAATTGCAATTTATTCCTTTATCCCACTTTTTAATTGGATCATTTGGTGTTTTGCAGACTTGCTTCTTGATTTCTTTGTAAAGTTTGGAGATCAGTACTCTGTTAGATATGGGTAAGTCAAACTATTTTCCCATTCTGTGTGCTGCCTTTTTGTCTTGTTGACTTTGTCCTTTGCCTTACAGAAGCTTCTCAATTTCAAGAGGTCCCATGTATTAATTGTTGACCTCAGTGTCTGTGCTACTAGTGTTATATTCAGGAAGCTGTCTCATGTACCAATTCATTCAAGGGTACCTCCAACTTTCTCTTCTAAGAGATTCAATGTGGCTGGATGTATGTTGAATTCTTTGATTCATTAGGACTTAAGTTTTCTGCATGGCGATAGACATGTATCTATCTGCGTTTTGCTACATGCCATAATCCAGTTGTGCCAGCACCATTTGTTGAACATGCTTTCTTTTTTCCACTATACTTTTTTAGATTCTTTGTCAGAGATCAGATGTTCATACACATATGGATTAATATCAGGGTGTGCAATTCGATTCCATTCATCTACATGCCTATTTTTGTGTCAATACCAAGCCATTTTCAGGACCATAGCTCTATAATAGAGCTTGAAATCAGAGATGGTGATGCCTCCGGATGTTGCTTTGATGAATAAGGTTGTTTTGGGAATCCTGATTCTTTCTTCCATATAATGTAGATTATTCTTTCTTTCGTGATCTGTGAAGAATTGTGCTGGGATTTTAATGAGGATTGCATTGAAACTGTAGACTGCTTTTGGCAAGATTGCCATTTTACTGTGTTGACCCTACCTATCCAAGAGCATGGGAGCTCTTTCCATTTTCTGGTATCTTCTTCAATTTCTTTCCTTAAACACAAAAATTTCTTGTGATACAGGTCTTTCACTTGTTTGATTAGGGTTAACCCAAATATTTCATGTTGTTTGTGGTTATTGTAAAGGGTGATGTTTCTCTGATTTCTTTCACAGCCCATTTATAAATTATGGCTAAAGTATGTATAAAGTATGGCTACTGATATTCTAGAGTTGAACTTGTATCCTGCCACGTTGCTGAAAGTATTTATCAGCTGTAGGAAATCCTTTGTAGAGTTTTTTGGGTCAATTATGTAAACTGTAGTATCATCTGCAAATAGTGAAAATTTGACCTCTTCCTTTCCAATTTGTATCCCCTTGATCTCCTTTTGTTGTCATATTGCTCTAGCTAGAACTTCAAGAACAATATTGAAAAGATATGGAGAGAATGGACAGCCTTGTCTTGTTTCTGATTTTAAAGGAATCAAGTTGAGTTTCTGTTCATTTAGTTTGATGTTGTCTGTTGATTTGCTGTATATAGCTAAGGTAAGTTCCTGTTATCTGGGATGTCTCCAAAACCTTTACCATGAAGGAGGGTTGGATTTCATCAAAGACTTTTTCAGCATCTAGTGACATAATCATGTTTTTTGTTTCTCATCTTGTT